CGAGCGAATTAAGACAGCGTTATCTGAGTTAAGGAGTGATTTTAACAAGCATTCGGACAGACTTTTGAATCTCGAAGGTGACAGAGCAAAAGTTCTGAAGACGGTTACATTTGCAAATGATTTAAAACCCAAGATGTACAAACTTAAAAAGGATTTTGCCATCTTGGAGCCATTAATAAATGACCTAACACTGAGAATAGGACGATTAGTGGAGGATGTATTACGACGGGAGAAGGAAATTGCTTTACTGAATGAGAAATTGGCCAATCTAACAAGAGCTCAAACTGAGATCAAAGATATGAAAGATGAAATAACCAAGATTTCAGACATGAACTGATCACTGTGAAATGTCACTGCCTAAAGAATACTAGTTTGAGGAGCGTTAACCCCATCATGTGTAGTACTAAGAAGAAAGACAATATTTAAAGGCTTCATTGAGAAGCACACCGAAACTTAACTAGAGATTTGTCCTCTTCCTTTGAAAAGGACAGAAAAAAAGTCATACTGAATTCAAGGGACAAGCTATATGTGAGCAAAACCCATGTCTCTGTGCATGTATTTGTCTTTCTGGAGGATGACAGATGCTATATTTAATAAATTGCTTGTTTTCTACAATAAAACAGTGTTAAAGCATAAAATGTTCTTACCTTTAGAGTTTGCTTTCATGAAGGAAGCAGGACCCAAGACTGACAGATCTTCAGCTTTCCTTTTCCTGCTCCAAAGGAAGGAACAAAATTGTGGTTTCCAGATAGAGTTAGTCAGACTGCAGTAGCAACTTAATATTTGTCCCAATATAGTCACTCTATGATTTTTGTAAACTTTTGCACTTTTTTTTTCTTAAATAATCAGTATTTAAAGAGGTAAATGCAGTGAAGCAAGCAATGCCCAGAAGTATTGCTGATGCCTCGCAAAAAGTTTGTCACGCATTTAGATGGAATAATTTGTATAAGGTTTTCTGTGAGGCTTTATAATTTTAAATTATAATTACTGTGCAGCACTGTTATGTCTTTAAAACACAGAACTCTATACGGGGACAGTGTAGAAAGACCGACTAACCCTACTGATGGCTTTCTCCCAGTGTCACGGTATCTGTTCAGGAATCCTAACAGCGTTTATTCATTCATTGTTTCTTAGCCCACAAAATACTATAGTGAGCAGCAGAATTAGCAAAGAGAAGCTACTTGGGTCCCAAAAGGTTAGACTGATAGGAGCCACTGGCAGTATTTCTGTGGTTATTCTGTGGTTAGCAAGAGTTTAAGAGTTCTGAGACATTTGAAAATGTAGTAGACTGAAGTAACAAGATAATGGGAGTGGGTTTAGCAGAGGATAGGGGGAAAAGTGCATTAAATAGGAATAAAAATGATTATAAAAACCAATTAGGAGAGGTACAGCAATTAAGAAAATTCCTATAAATGAAATTATATCACGACGTATAAGCATACACTAAGGCCATTGTAACTTCTCAATTGTTTAGTTGGTCATGCCTGAACATCTTGCAGCTACTAGACTCTTGACTGTATGGAAGATACAACCATTCCCCTCTCTCACTATTCTCATCCTCACTCAGCATTCTGTATCTTTTGGCCCGCTTCATGTTGCTGGCCTTCCGTACCTTGCTTGCTTCGTTGCCCTCAGTCAACCTCAAACACTCTGTTTTCATCAAGTTTTCCTCTTTTTGGTAGAGGTCCATTCCTACCTCCCAATTTTCTTTTACCCCTTCCCAGTCCGCCTGACAGACTGCAAGGATAAACCTGTCAAAAGACAAGTTTTCCTAGAAAGCATCCACAGATACTATTTACCAACCGGTGTCCCTTTGGCTCTTTCACACAATTCTTAAGCAAGCCCCTGAAAATAACCAAACGGCATTTGAAGGAGACAGAAAAATTAAAGAACATCCGGAATGATCAGCCATGCTAAAGCATGCGTTGTGTATCATATCTGAAAAAATATATATACACGCACATACCTATGCCACAAGAGTTTGGGATTTATGTAATAAATATACCTCATTTGTATATTAAAGCCAGATATTCACTGAATCCACCAATCCTGGGTTGTTTTTTTTTGTGTGCAAGCTCATGTTAGTGCCGTCAAGGAGAGCACTTGGCACAATAGACATGGCTACCAAAATAACATTGATACAGCTGTGTGAGAAATCTATCTTATGCGCCTTTCACTACGGCCCATATGATGCGGTTAACAGTTACCGGTGCATTAACTGTGTCATGAGCTATAGTAATTTTATTTATTTTGTTTTCAGCTTTATGAACGAATCATTTGTGGTCAGTAGCCAGTAAAAATCTGGAGGGGCAGAACTGGAAAACCAGTAGAGCACTATCTACACAAGTGAAGAGAAGTGGAAAATAGGCTCCAGCTGCACAGTTCATCAGAGAAGTCTTGACACAGCAACGAGTTCTTTCTGGATGAAAAGAGCATGTTCTCTCTTTGGAACAGTAACCAGAAAATAAGACAGGATAAACAACTGTTGATTTCACTTTCAACCCCCAAATCAACAACCTCCAAATCTTAGAACACATCTACCAGTGAAAAGCTCAGTATACAGTCCTGTTCATGGTCTCCATGGGAAGTAAAGTATGCAGAAACGTTACCGAACCATTGATTTATCTAGAGACGCATGCAGACCACCCACCCTTCCTTCCCAGGAAGTGCAGGTCCAAAGCATTATGATCCTTTCAGAAACTTTGTTGATACAAGCAAGAGAGAAAAAGTTTAAGTCACAGAGAAAGTTTACTTAGAAAAAAAAAAATTCTGGATCTAAAGTTTACACACCCACTGTATTGTCCTCAGAAATAAGGCGAGTGATCAGTAATTCCCCCATAATCTCTTGCACAGGTATTACAAATCTTCATTTGCCTTTCAAGCACACACCTCCGCTATACTAAAAAATTAAATGAGAGTTTGAGAGTTGCTTTGTAATTACAGTGGTCTAAGGACAGAGGCAAAGCTCTTTCTACAGTGGAAAAGATGAGGCAGAGTGTGAGGTATTTTTCATAAATTTAAAGCAGACTACTAACCTCGCCTCCTTGGTTTAGTACTCTCAGCGGAGGGGAGAGTATCAGCCCAGTAAAACTACAACCCCTTACTTAGTCCATTTTCTAGGGGCACTCAACGATACTCTCTACAATTTTATTAAGTGATTGAGAGATTCAGGTAATAATGAAAATTACAGCTATGCTACTTAAAACGTATCATCCCATGCAGCCCAACCTGTAGTGATACTCAGGACATCTTTGCTTTTAACTTAGTATGCAGGCATAGAACTGGCCAATTGTATTCTTGCCAACAACTCACAAGGAAAAAAAAAACCAAACCCAAACAAAACAGCAACAGCATTAAGTGATCAACGCTGAAAAATGACACGAGCAAAGTAATCCCAACACACTAAAATCTACTTTGAGACAGCAGAACGTCAGCGCAGCCAAGAAGTTTCTGATAGCGACATCCTTCTCCCACATCACTCGAGTTACAAAAATCACATCCTGTAACAAGGCCATGTACCTACTAAGCTCAGCTATCCAAGGTACTCATATTTGCTATAAAAAAAGCAGGATGTTTATTGTTTTCACTGTGAACTACATCATTTCTATGTAGAAATGCAAATGAATTACATCTATTTGTATCATTACAGCCCATTTAAAAATGGTATGTAGCAAGCATTTCAGCAAGTATCGGCAACATCAGCACATTTGACCTGCAGTACAATCTGATATAAACACAGGGTGTGAACGGAGCTGTTATTCCAAATTTAGATGGACAGTACGTTTTAAACCAGAAAGCTGATCTCAGCTCCAGTAATAGCAAGAAAGAATGTGTTCCCCTTCATAAAACAATATACACAAGCAGCATATACATAACCCGTATTTTACAAAGCACTTCTGGGTTTAGTGACTGCTCTGGAGCTAAGTTATACTTGGTTCAAAATGGAGTGCTCCTTTTCGATACAGGACTTTCCTGGCAACGAAAGCACAAGCCCGTCTGAAGCACCGCGGCTCCCCTGACCTGTGTTCTCAACTTTCAGAAAACATACCACGCGTTATGCTGCAAAGCATGGTTATCGATGACAAAGTTGACCTATTAAGCGCATTATACTACTACAGTTTTCCCACTGGAGCTTATTTAAAATACCAGTGAGAGACCCTTTAAGCAATAGCATTTTATATGTCAAACCCCTTCATCTCAAGCGTCCGAACAAGCCTATGCCTGAACATCAGTGCAGTCAGCAGCTGCAAGGCAATTCTCTCCCCCTCTCGGGTTTTCCACTGAAACACAACACTGGAAGTAGCACTAAGTGTATTTTCCCTTTCTCAGTTACAAAAGAACAGAACAGCTAGCTGCCCCTCGTAGTCTTATCTCAGATTTACCTCGATAAAGTTATCTGAGCATCTTTAAGACAGTTTCAGGTCTACCCTTGAGCAGTAAGAAAATAGATTTAAGATTCTCTTATTACTTACTGCACACATTTAAAACTGCTGCACAAAGGTGACCCAATTCTAGAGAAAAATTGCGTGATTTTGCTCCACACGTAGAATGACAAGAAACAGCCTTGAGAAATTTAGCTTATCATTGGATTACTTGACAATCGGGCTACCTCACTGCACGCGCCAAGTTTGCCTCACTCTTCTGCCAGCCTTAAAAGTTGGCAAAAGTGCTTCACTTTCCCAGGATTAGAAGGAACTCGAGATGTCTTCCAGCAAAGTCTACTGAGTTAAAGTGCACCTTTAAAGAAACTATGATATTCAGTACACAAAAGTGACACTACTTTTTCTAACAAGTTGAACCACATACAGAAGTTAACTTTAATAGCTGATTTAACATCAGTGGTCTTGATACAAGATCAAGTCATAGTTAATGCTCCTCTCCGAGGAAGCTCTTAGGAGCATTTAATGATTCGTTAAATAATTTCAAAGCTTCCCACTCACGATGGGGCAACAAGACGTACATACTTATATCATGAAATATATTTAATTCAACACCAAAGTACTTGTACAAATGCTTTATTTACACTTACTGAATTTGACTTTGCTGTATAAGGCAGTTAGATACCAACCGCTCTAAGAATGTGTTTAGTGTCACGGTGACAGGGAAATAGAACAGTTTTAAATCTTACTCCACATTTTGGAAAGGTGGCAACTCAAAATAAGGCTCAGCTTGTTTAGCATAACCATCCAAAATCTCGGAATGCAGAGGGTTTTCCCAGGGGGTGAGAAGCTCAGCGCTATGTAAATTGCTAGCAGGAACATCAGACTCCAGCAAGATGCAGCGGTCAGTATATTTATGCTACTCCAATGGCACCTGCTTTAATTGTCCTTTTGACTCTAAAGGACGCAAGTAAGGAGGAAGGAGCAGCACAACATACGTGAATGCCAAGCCAAGTCCAGTATCATCAGCTCACATGCTGAAAGGCAGCACATCCAAACAGTTTTGCACAGACACTTATGCTCCAGCTCTTAACAAAGTAGTAGTGGATACGGTGAAGCCTTTATATCCTATTAGGCATTTTCTGGATTTTTCTCAATGCGATTATCAACTGTGGGTTTCTTGAACAGGCAAAACACTGAAGGCAGCATGCTTATCTTTCTGTAAAAGACTGAAAAAAACAAATTCTTTGCCTTAACAAAAACATTGTGTGTGTCTCCTTTTGTATGCCTAGGAGACTAGATTTTTCTCTTCACATCAAGGTCCAAAAAAAAAAAAGTATGGCTTCTTGCACTGCAGAAGTGCATGGTTCAACCAAAACTCAGCATTACAGTTAAACTAATTCAGAAAACAAAAAACAAAAACAAACTAGGGAAAAGCTAGCAAGTTTGTCAAACTCTACAGCAAGAGGCAAGCCATTTTTATTTTACTATAAAGCTGTAGTAAGCTTTTAGTGGTCGGATATCTTTTGAGAATCCTTATTAACATCAGCTTTTCTTTTGTTAAAAGTAGCAGCTACTCTTTAATTCCACAGTACAACCAAAAGGACTGAATTCTTTGGTGCGGTTCAAAGCCAACAGAAGCAGAAATTAGTCACATAAGCGTAAGTTAGTTATGTTGGGATGACCACCCAAAGCAGAAATGGCTCTATTACGTATATAAGGTTCCTTTCATCTCTATGGAGAACACCGATATTAGGAGCAGGATGCCCTATCAGACTGCAGTCTCACCTCAGCCATTCAGGAGTTCAGCTATTCTACAGTAACAGCTTATTGTAGGCAAATAAAACAGTGGACTCAAAGTGCATAGAACTGCAGTTAGTTTCTGCAGTTCTGCAAGGATAGGTTCTTGGCACTTCTCTGGAAACAGTGAAAGTCTGGTTTTGTTACAATTGTTTCACAATTTTCTAGTTCCTAAAGTGTAGGATAGGTTAATTTTTTAATTATTGGCAGGGTGGGGAGTATTTGAGATATTTGCTGCTATGAAATGAAGCTTACATATGCAGTAGTAAACAGACACTAAGCACTGTTTCTCATTTATTTCAGGCAACGACAGTGGTAGAATTGAAACCCTCATGCGGGCTGAGGGCACAGCCAATAATGACATCATATAGAGTTTGTTTTCTACATAGTCAAATATATAAAAGTTTCATGAAACTCATCACTGGGACAGCCAGCATAGTCAGTCCATGAGTTGTCTATTCAGTTAGACCAAGCTTCTTCTTCAGAGATTCTGGCATTTCAGGTGGAGGCGGACGAGGAAGTCTGAAATAAACCTTCACAGAATCGTAGATGAACCACTGCAGTGCAGTCAGGGTACCAATCATAATGATACGAGCAAACAGACCTTTCCATACACCTATAGAGCAAAACATAAAGCATGAGTAGCGCAAGAAGCCAGAAAAAAAAAGAAATCCTCCCCAAAACACCACAAACACTTGATCCAAAATACATGAAAGTAAGAACGTACCTTTGAATCCAAGCCTCATAAGAACCTGTGAAGCAGAACTGCCCTTTTCTTTGTTCAACACAGACACCACGGAGTCAGCAGGATGGGAAACAATTGCACAGAACACACCAGCTGAAAGAATAATTTGACATTAGTTCTGCCAAATTACGTGTGTGTTTTAGCTGTACCATTACTGTGTACATTAAGTACAACCAACTGAAACCACACCTTCTAATAAATTGCACAGAAGTTATATCAAGCCTCCTAAAGTATCCTAAAAGGACAGCAGCTACATACTTATAATGTGACATGAATATTAGACAACACCTCGGTTCTGCTCTTGCAGAACCTCTTCTGCTAAAACAAAACTCCTTCTGAATCTTTGGATATTGAAAATCCCCCTTCCATTCAGATTTCTCTTCCCCTTCTTCAACCTCCCCCAGCCTAGCAAAGATGCAAGTTTTTTCACTTAAATCAGCTGCAGTTTCTAAACTTGGACATTAACATTGGTAATACACAGGAACAATTAAGAGTATCGTCCTACTGAAGACCCATTTTCCACTTACAGATTGAATATACTTTTTTCCCCTGCACATTTTAAAGTAAATTCTCCCATTCTATTTACATCAATTTGATATTCTGAAAAGGGATAGGCTTCTAGAGTTGCAGTAGTCCATTAATGAAGTGTAGGACTTAAAGATTCCTTACCAATATAGCCTGCAATAAATGTGACTACCAGCTGTTCTCCTTTTGTGCATTCACTTCGTGGCTTGGGAACGACGTACTTGTAGAGAGCTTCAACAGTACGTTCAAAGCAGGCAAATTTCATCATTGTGTATGGAATCTGTCTCATCCATAGTGGAGCAACACCTTTATAGAAACTTAATCAGAGAAGAGACAAACTCAGTTTCATTTTCTCCAGTATTTAAGGGCCATTTCTAATTTGAAAAAAAAAACAGTTAGCTTATTGTTGCTATCGGAATACCACTTCTAAATACTGACACTGTAAGGCTTAAGTGTCTCAATACCTACAGAACAGAAATTTAACTTCTATTAGTTTCCGAGTACTAACTTAAAACAGCAACACAAATTAGAATTTGTGTTGATCCCTACGCTGTGCAGCTGTTTTTGTAGTCCCTTTTCAGATTACAGTACACTGCAGTAATGCTGTACTGATGCTACAAGTGCAGTAAGGCTCATGTCTGCATACCAGCCAAGTCCCGATAGCGATAAATGACTTGTATATTTACAGCCACTTCTATCAGAACAGAAAGCTAACATGCAGTTATATTACTCTTACATGCCAATGACTCAAGCATCTTTGACTGTACAACCACGAAGTTGCTGAATATCTCTGACTGGAACTGCTAGAAACTGAAGTTATCCAGCAGAACTCAGCACAAAGATACTCACAAAGATGGATCTAAGGAGCATGTGTGATTAACAGCCAGTTCAGCAGATTCCCTGAAGTATGTTAAGTTGTTAGCTTGAAATACAAAGACCAAAAAGTATTATAAGCTAAAGCCACAATTAGTTTTAGCAACAGTCTTTCATTAGGAGAAAATATTCAACATTAAGAACCTGAATAAAAATAACAATTAAAATCAAGAGATACTTACGCCCAAATGCCTTCTTCTCCAAACATTTTAGGCACAGCCTGCCGCAGAGTGTTAGCATATCCAGGCTGTGTCTGAATACGAACTTTAGCAGCTTCCATTGGAGCCAGAGCAATGTCAGCAAAAAACTCTGCACTGGCAGATGCAGCTAAATACAGCGAAGTACGCCACAAATATGCATTTTCCTGAAATGAATTTAAACACACGTTTTTATTAATGAATCACGCTTTTGTGATTACTCTGTGCTACTAATGTTATTATGTTACAGATATATAGCCTCATATAAACCACTTAAGGCTTACCTCTCCCAGCATGTTGCCATATAGGATTTTGAAAACTTCATAGAAACCAAATTTACAAAGCCCCTGCATGGAATATCCAATAAAGGTTGGAGCCCATCCCTTAGCCAAGCCACGAACGCCATCCTCTTTGACCGTCACTGAAAATCCATTGAAGATGCTCTTGTATTTTTGTGGATCAACCTAAACAGAACAAGTAGTTAATCGCTTGATATAGCTTACTACTTCCCTTCTCACACCATGATCTGAAATATAGAATTCTTAAATTCCTCATACAGCTGGCTTCCTAAAGGTTCCCTGGACAGATGATGTACTCACCACGAGGTTACACTAATATAACTGTAATGGTTACTTGCTTGTCTTAAATCCTAACTTATTTTAACAGCCAGTATGTTCCTCAATACTCAGGAACCAAACTGTCTGAATTTTGCTTTACATTTTATTCTCCAAATCAACAATACGACTTTCTGTATTGAAAAGATTTACTGAAATCACTATACTAACACTGTCAGTAGTATACTGGTATAATTATGTTTAGATCAGATTCTTTAAAAATTTGACAGCTTCCGTCAGCAATCTCATCCACTCTACACATCACACCTATGTACACTCAAAGTGTCGCCACAAACCAAACCTGACGATTCACCTGATTCTTAATCAGAAAAGGTTATTTCTTGACTGTTAGTCTGATCCCTCCACACAGTCAGACTAAGACAGTTGGAGCAAAGCAGATAAAAGAGTACTCAAGAACTTCTACACTTGTACTTCGACTTCACAGTAAAGGCTACATACAAAATATTTCCTGCACATAAAACTTTGAGTGAGATTTCATTAATAACTTATCAGAAATTTAAAAAAGACCAACTTGAATAATTTTGTTTCATGTGAAAGGAAACCATTTAACAGAAATTCTTAAACAGGTCATTCTGACAAATTTTAAGTCACATCACACTGTTACTTTTCATATTTGACATCATCCAACATTTCCTCAGAGGGATAAGAAGGAAGATATCAAATTAGAAGTCAACCAAAGCTTTCAGAAAGAGCTATGGGACATGCATGCCAACCTGCAGTGACTGATATTTTGTCTTGCAGTCTGGCAAACAACCTGCTTGAGAACTAGTTCACCTTAACACGTCAATTTTAGAAGATTCAGAACTTCAGAAGATTGACTATTTAATTGGGCATTGTAAAATGAAACTATATTCATGTCAGAACCATGCTTAATTATCGTCTACGTAAAAGGTGACCTCTTCTTAAAAAAGACATGAGAGGGCAGGCAACGGGTTTCTTCCTGGACAATCTAGGAAGGATTAGTAACATGCTCTGTACTGGATCTGTAAAGAGATAAAATACTGACAGGTTTTACAAGGTCACACCTGGAATCCACATGGAACCCTCCTTTTGCACCTTCCTCTAAGTGCTGGAGAAGGAAGGGGAAGTATCACCACCCTCATTACGTAGGAAGTCCAGGACTGGCAGCCCAAGCCAAACATACCTACCAAGCAATTGAAGCCTGGAAAGTATGAGGCCTTGCTCCCAGTTGTATATGCAGCATTGTATAGCTCTCAGGCCTTCCGCCCATTAACCCGATTTGCAATCAGGTTAAGAACTGTTTGAGATGCTACATCCTCTTTACCCATCATCAATCTCCTTCCCAGGAAACTCATCCTTAGGCACGGGTAGTCAAGTTACCAATACTGGATTTTGAAGTCCGTAACAATAGAAAACTGCACTTAAGCTACATTTTCAGAAATAAAACGCATACTCAGCCTACAGCTATTCCTTACTAGTAGAAATAGGGAATTCCTACACTATTAGCCTGGTGGTAATGCAAATTTTGTAGAAAGCAGCATGTTGCCCTCATTTGATGCACCCTGTGTTTGCCTGATGTTACAGAATTACTAGTATGAGACCAGAATGTCTAGTGTTCTCAAGTGTGCGAAAAAGCCTCTCATGCGAAGAACACTAAATAAAGGCCTTCCAGAAGAACACAATTTTAAAGAATACCACATGCAGTACTCCTAGCGTGACTAGGAGGTCTGACTAATTAGTAGTTCCCTCCTAATTTCAGGAGTTCTATCATTACAAAATCTCCACTTTTATAATCAGCATCAGCCTAGGCAACAGAGAAGTCATTAGCTACTTTATTTCCAGAAATTTCAAAGTGTGCTTTAATTTGCTTCATTCTTGAGGCACAGGTTTGCCTGAATAAATCCATTATTATGTTTTTATCCATGGCTGTTCACTAGATGATTTTAATGCGGAAGCTCTATCACAAATTAAGTGCAATGTGACAACACTCCTTTCAGTTCAATCAAGAACCACTTCAAGGAAACTAGCCACAAGCACTGACAGCCCTGCAAATACCATTTCAGGTTTTACCCATCATTAGAAACTATCCAATCCATAAGCCATGCATTGATATCCACAATGTTAATGGATCAAATTATACATGCATGTCACTCCAGGCTAAAAACCGTAGATCTTCAAAACACCAAAGATACTATTTCCTTCCTCCAAAAGCACACGAATAGTGCTAGACAGCCTACCAGACAGCAAAGAGTAACATTGTGGTGGGTGCCTTTTAGCAAATATAGTCAAGTTAAATGTGCCTTAAACATAGTCAAAAATAATTCATCCAGATTAGCCTAAATGCCTCTGCTTCTCTTGAAAGTGGTATTTTGTTAGTCTCACAGCAGTAGACTTGATAAAGTAGCATTGAAGTTTACTCACTTCCTGTCATCCAGAAAAGACTGTGTCCCTGCTGTAAACTCTTAATACGCTGGCTACATAGAGAAAAAGTTTAATAAATGTTTAAGTTAATACAAACCTGCATACGACATTTCACTAAATCCAGAGGTACAACAGCAGTGTGTGTCAGGCCACAACTTAGGACCCCACCAACGCCACAGAGAGCATAAAACTTGAGCGAGCCATATTCACAACTGTATTCTGCAGCAAAAAATAAAGACACACCATGCTTTTACATAAACTCCATGCACTGTTGGACAATGATGTCCAAGGGATAGTTTATGCCTCCAATTCATTAGTAGATTAATTATACCACACTAAACATGCTTTGTCAATGTCACCACATACCAACATGCAGAACAAACCTGTATTCTGCATTTAACCAGGTCTAGAGGAACCAGTGCTGTATGTGTTGATCCACAGCTAATAATCCCACCAAGACCACACAGCATAAAGAATCTGCCTGAGCCATATGCACAGCTGTATTCTAGTTAATTGGAAAAAAATCACATATATATGGTCAATCATAAATACTAACAAAGATCAGAAAAGAAACAAAATTGGCTGAGCGCTACTTTCTCAAAAGTATTAAACTGAAATAATCTCCCATGCTGTATTCCCATGCTATATTATCCAACTGTAGTGTTACACTCAAAAATAATCCCATTGTTTTAAATTAACACCTTTTGGACTGACAAGATTTGATTCTAGGCCTTCCAAATCGAGTTTCTTCCTTTAAAAGAAAGCAAGGGAAGAAAGTAAAGTTTTAGCTCACAGCACATTTAAATCATAGAAATTAATCCCAGAAGCTGCTAGTAGAAATTATGACTTAAAGTTGCAATATCCAACGTTTTCTTATATCAGGGAATTAGGCAAATAGAGTGTTTCTCTTGTATTCTGGAGACAAAGCTTCTTTGGTTCAATATTCTGCGATAGTGCAACTTCTGTATTTAAGTAGAGACCGTACAGATCTACGAGATCAGTGTTGGATTTTTCTTTATACAGATATATTTTCAGATATTTTTCAATTCTTTATACAGATTTTTACTTTCTTTCAAATACAGAATCTCAGATTTATACAGCTTCCGTTTAATGAAATTGCAGAATTTTATTAAATTAATCATCACATTCAATGCTCATGAACAACGTTCGTTAAAGAATCTTTCAGATCACATTTAATCAAGGGATATTTCATTTGCACTGTTCCATATAGTACTCTGTATAAAACCCTCCAGTCTTAAAAGAGCAAGTTATTTTCACAAATTCCAATAGAGCAAAGTTACTGGAGCTGAAAAACAAGAATCAGTTCCCCTCTTCCATTTTTGAAGAAGCTACAGAGGGTATGATTACGTGCAACCAGAAAACACTTAAGTTTGCAATTAACAGTACAAATTAAGCATAAGGTAGCAGCACAGTTCTGCTACTATGCTTAGCATTTTAAATATATAAGCGGAAGTAAAACTAATATACTGAATAAGCATATAGAAAACAATACGCTATATAGAAAATATTCCCCAGAGTAGGAAGGGATAATCTAGATTCTTTTGCTATTAGATCTAGCGGTGTTACTCCACTGTAATGGAATAGACACTAAAGTGTTACACTAACTTAGTAAGAACTATCTCCAGAGAAACACTAATGAAAATCAAAAGATGGCAAAAACCTCTTATTCAGAGCTTCTTCGCCCTGTCTTTTTGCTTCTGAAATAAGTTCCTTTATGAACATCAACAAAAATTTACAATTACATTCAACAGCATCTACAGAGCACCAGTTAACACTAGTAGGCTTATCCAGCTCATAACTTCGCTATTATAAGGGAACTTCTTCCACAAAATGTTCCAGATTTTACACCGCTTTTTATATTCACGTTTCTCACCGTACTCTTCAAAATTAATCACCAAGACAATAAAAATGTCATTTTTTATTTATTCTAAAATAACAAATACCAAATCATAGACACCATATTAAGCCTAAACTTAAAGTGAGGAATCAGTTAACAGTCAGAACAATGCATAACCTATGAGAATTTTTTTAATTGAGATACTGCTTAAGACTGTAAATACGCTGGTCTGGGACTTACACGTACCTCTGAATAGTTTGGTTATGCTGGCAGATTTGCAGACAGCAGTAATACTCTGTTTACAACTTGCCAGAATGACTGGATAAACAAACACAAACAAGACTTTCTATGCAGGTGTAATCACAGAACAGTCTCTGGGTCTGTATTATGGGGCAGCTCTGTCTAACTGCATCTTTGGCCTGCAGCACAACAGTACTGCAGTAGTTACCATGCTGCCCAGATACCAGAAGTGTTTGTTCACACTACCTTCTTCACAACAATTTACTGTTAGAAGTCATACTCCTCAAATGACAGAGACAGACATTTGTGGAAGCCACAGAAAAGTAGAACTTTATGTATCTGTTTTATTACAATGGTATTCAGACTGACCTGTCAGCTAGGTGTTCAAAAACAGTAATTAAGAAAAGTAAGCCAATATCAATTAGGCTTGAGCTCTTTAGAGGTACCTAAGTTTGTAGTCGTGTAGCAGTATTAGGAAAAAAGCCATAGTAGATACCAGATTTTCTATTTCAGAAGTAGAGTCTAATTTCCTAAAAACTGTTACCTGAAAAAGAGAACGAACTAAACATGTAGTACAGAGGGCAAGAGAGTTATTCTAACATACCTAGACACTGACTTAAGACAAACACCCTGAAGCTACTCGAATATAAATATACAGCACAAAAACACGTCTACTCTATTAAAACAGCTACATCATAACTATTTCATTTCTTTGCTTCTGACCTGACACGTTAACAAGGACAAATTCCAAGAGCTGATCATAAAACACTGTCTCTGAGCTGTGTTATGGTTAATGCCCTGAACTGAACTCAAAAAGTCTTGTGGTTTGTGCTGACTTTGTATGACCTTGCATAAGCTCAGATATCTTCTGCAACGTGTTACTCTCCCAACACAAAGGCCAGAGAACCAACTGGTATGTGAAAGAATGAACACAGCAGAAAAGACTACAAAGACTCGGAAACTCTGGTCACCTTTGACTGCATCTGCCTACAAACGGGATGAAGATTAAACATAATGCTTTTAAGAAATAAGTGCACCTACTGAATATTTAGCATACCAAAGAACCATTTAGGGCTTTAGTTAGCTAGCAACAAGATTACTACACTGAAAGCCAGAAGTACTTTCTTGAAAACTTAATAAAATCCAACACCCAGTTCTGTCTCTTTCACATATTACACAAATGTCCATACAAGAGCACTAACATACTTCAATAATCATAGCACTTCAGGAGAGATATCTTGCTGAAAGCACTACTTTTTTTTTTTTTTAAAGGCAGAGAAATACTTTTAAGTCATTAACAGCTTAAAAGAAATAGAATTTCAACATCTACCTCCACTATTAGGAGTATCACCAAGGTCTCACTTTTGGAAGTCCTGACAGCGATCAGGAAACATACAGAAAGCACTTGCACTTAAATCTAAAATGCATCACTGCATCACTTAGACAGCAGAGTTATCTGGTGTATGACCCACAACTACAAAGAAGAAAAAAAAAAGAAAACCAGAACAGTTGCAGGCATCTCTAATGTGTCTGGATGGTCACACGTCCAGCTGTGAATGAACAGGAGAAAGAAGAAAAAAAAGAAGGAAAAAAAAAAAGACAAAAGGATGGGAGAGAGAGTCTTTCAAATCCATCCAGATTCACATGCTGCTCTTCACCACGGAAGAATTAAGTACGGGCCTACAGCCCCGAGGCTGCAGGCCCAGCAGAGCCAGAAAAAGCCCTCTCTTACCCCCAAGACAGACTCCATCGGGGGTCTCTGTAATTACCCTGAACTAGAACCTTCGTGTGCCCTTCCCGCACCGGATCCTTGCTGCCACTCAGCACACAGCGCACGGGGAGCGGAAGAGCCTGCCAGCGCCTCCCCCGCCCGTGCCCTTCCTCGTCCTCCAAGCGGGCGCGTAGGCCC